CAGCATCCAGGCGATCCAACACCTGAGTTCGCAGTCGGCGCACAGTTTTATTTCGAATGCTTGTGATGGTGTCCATCTATATGTAAAGGATATTTTAACCTCCGTTTACGGTACCCAACACAGCAGCAGTAAGGACTTATCGCGCGGCTTATTCCCGCTGCCGGCGCCTTCCTTAAACCGCCTGTAAAACCCGTGAATATACGACATCGATCGCGAGTCCCCCTTACTGCTGCTCATTTGAATTGTTGACCACTTGAGATGATTAGTGTCTCTATCAACGTTATACATACCATTTCAATTATTATGCAACCTCGCAGAAAACTAGCATTCAACCATCAGGGTTTTTGGCTTCCGCAATCAAATTTCGCATTTATTTGATTGACGGGAGCCACAAACCCAGACGTTTCTTTGGCTTTGCACGCATAATTATAAACATGGTTTTAAATCAAGATGGCCTGCCGAACTAAATCTCTCTATGACAGTACGCTTTTGTTGCATCGCGAGTGAAGCCAAATTAAAGTGATCGATCTTGTTTCGCATCAAAGCTATCCATGCAGTATTCGAGATGCGTGCGCAACGTGAATGAACATTATTTGTACGACGTTTTATGTCAACTGAAGTTCTTTGATCGTCCTTTCATTCGTTCTTCCCTGCCTTCAATTTATATTCGCTCTTTCTTCTCTATTAATTAATCGTTTTTAAGTTCATTTTTATATCCGCTTTTCTTGCTAGGGATCCAAGAGAGTTTGTTCCTTGCTAGCAGTCTCCCTCGTTGGCTATATCGAGAGAAGTTCATTTTCCGTTGTGGATCAATAGCTGTGGAGAAAAGCGCTAATTCATTCTGTTGCACTATCAAGTGAAACACAGATTTACATTTTGTTGCACCACGATAGCAAAACTAAGATCTCTCAATCTAATCGAGTCATCAGCAACTCAGACCAATATCATATTGGGAGCCCAATCAAGCATATTTGTCACGTCCAGCCGAACTGTTGATGGCTAAAAATACTGAGAAAATTATGACGCCTTTTGAAAGACCAATAGCAAGTTTTCTTTTCATTAGTACTTTGTTCATTATTGATATCCGTAATTTTGGCCACCAACAGTTAATTCGCCCAAGACCACGCAAGGCTCAGTGCAATATAATGTAAATCAGTGTGTTCACAGGTAGCCCAAGCAATAGCCTGTAGAGCAGGCGTTCTTTTGATGGGTTTCAGAGGAAGAATCGGGGCTTGGGGGTTCCTGTTTCGACCAAGGGCCCGCGAGAAAAATGGGAACTAGCAAAAAAAGGGAACGTGTTTTGCTCGGTTTCAATTTCTCGCTCGTTCTAAAGTTCCCCCAAAACCCCGGTTTTTCCCCAAACCCACAAGAACGCCTGCTTTGCAGGCTACCCAAGCAAATGTATGGGATAATTTCTTACTGGTGGTGGGGGGAAAATCCTTAAAACGGGCTAAATTCAAAAAATAACCACACAGAACGAAAGAAGTGCTATTTCTCAATGATTACGTAAGATTTCGAGGCTTTATATCACGTTTCAATGATGTTATTGAAATTTTTGAAGAATCCCCATACATTTCCTTTATATAACACGACACCACAGAAACCAAGCTTTGGCTACCTGTGGTTTGTTTCATTTCATGGTGCAATCGATCATCGCCAGGTGCACTCACTCGGGGATTCCCCTCATTATAGCATATAGGCAATTTGTACTGCGCATGCGCGCGTTAATAGAAAACAAAAGAATTTCAGCCGCCATTTTGTTTGTAATGCACAGTCTGTGGGTTTTCTGATCAACGTTCTCAGAATTTAGAGGCATTCGATGGAAGGGCTTCAAAGAGGATCAAAACTAGAGACGAAGGACTAGCACATGAGCATATCAACAAGTACATCGTCCTTTTATTTGGAGATAAATCACTCGTCAAAATGTGCCCGAAAGGGAAAAACCTCAAGACATGGTTATCTTTGTTCCTCTTGTATTTAAAATCTAACCAGTAAATTGAGGAAATCTTTCTTTAAGGTGAGAAATTATTCTTTGATGTTTTCATTTTGTTGAATTATAACTTTTAGTTGAAAGCTGATCGTCTGAAATAGGAGGCTGTTTGATGGCCAAATTTGCGTGTAAGCTAATTTTTASTCAAATTCAAAGTCAATTTACTCGAAAGTTTTACTATTCCCCCAGATGGAAATTACCTCTATTAGAATGGCCTTTCTTTTATCTTTACAGGTGTGCAATTTTTTTGTACTGAAAAATTGTGTGGCATATGGTGTTAAAGGAAATATTAAGACCATCCCAGCTACCTCAGCATATCCTCAAATCTTGGGTAATTTTCCTTGTTTAGGTTTACCAAGATCTTCAAGTTTCTGGTTGTTGAAATATCTATATAAGGTAGCTTGAACACCTCAATCTTGTTTATTGTAGTTGTTTTTTAAATTGCTTATCTTTGTCACCAAAA